CAAGTAAGACTTTATTAACTACATAAACACTTAAACTAGTCTAACATACACATACACCCACACACACACACGCATACAGTTGGTATAGGAATAGGATTAAATCTTAGACAGTAAAGAGAAGAGAAATAAAACATGAAGCTATGGTATCATTGGATATTCAGCAGATCTACAGCCTGAAGGAAACATCAGTTTCTTAGTTCAAACACACCTTTGTCAAAAGGTGCAAATGATACTTGATGTATCAATTAATAAGACTAAGTTTGATCCTTGCACGTCTTGTCTGTCTGACAGAGTCCTGATGCAATCTGAAGGCTAAAGTTGATCTTTGCTGAAGTTGGTTGATGAAAAAGAACCAGTTTGAGTCAGATGATCTTGGTGAATGGAAAGTCAAGGCCCGAGGCCTGGCGCAGACTTAGGGTGTTCTTAGGAGCGTTTTAGCTCACATCCTCATCTTCTCAGAATCTAACAGAACCGCAGACTGAAGACTTAGTAGTTATTATTGGCGACATTAGAAATGGATATTATATAATAGCTGCTTTTTTGAATATTTTAGCTATTTAAAAATATAAAAAATATATTTTTTTACACGGCACCCCGGTTGGGAAACACTGCTCTAAATAATGCCGCGAGTGGGGCTTGAGGTAGTGACGTCGCCTGTGTCTGCGTAGTGCGACCTGATGCAGCCCCTGAAGCGAGACACAGGAAACAGAAATACTGCAAAATAATAATAATAATGTGACTAAACGAGACAACGAAAATGAAGAGACATTTTAGCATAGTTTTTATTTTGTAAACCACATTTAGTCTCGTTTTTATTCATCAACGATATTGCATTATACATTTAATTAGTCATCGTCACATGACCAGCATTTTCGTCTCGTTTCGTCTCGTTTTCGTCATGTGATAAAGGTTCGTTGACGACGATATTTAGTCATAATTTTCGTTGATGAAAGCAACACTACTTAGTAGAAAAATAAACTCTTGGCGGAACTGTGCGTGGGCCCTTTTAAAGTCTGAGAAGATTCCCGCCTCTTAGGATGGGCTTGTCCAATGAGAAAGGCTGAAGTTTCAAGCGGGAGGTTGGATACTGGGGAGTTTTACGACCCTTTGTGTGAGGGCATGGTAATTTGCAAATGGAACTCGAATCAAATTACTAAAGATCCTTAGAACACTAATATATTGCCTATGTCCCAACATATATTATACATTAGATCATCAGAAGACGAATTCATAGATACTGAACATGGTAGGATTACATATAGGTAAGATTACATGAACGAGTGGTTCTATCATAAGCCTGCATAAAACACTATACAATTTAAAAGACAATATACAAGGACAGTAACAACATACACAATAGCCTGAAGGATATGTGTGTTCATTCACAGAAAGGTTTTTCTATGAATTAATTAGAGAAGAGTCCATTTTTACTGTGCATTGTGTCTTTCCTATGGAAAATGTAGTGAAAGGGAGAACACTCAACATGCCATTAGGTCGTAAAATGTATCTGGTCTAGCAAAAGGTGTCGTGTTTGCCATGGTGACCAGGGGCCTGGTGTCGTTCGCAGACATCCTGGCACCCAGTATGTTTATTGGGTGAGGGGTCTGTGACTATTTGTTAATCTAATAAATAATAGATTTGTTAAATCTAATGAAAAAGTCTGATTGGTTCATACGCTACACAGGCCTTATACAATTGCTCACGAACAGTGCCAACATAGTTAAGTACAGTCACAGGCGAAGAGTCTTTAGCTAATAATTGCTCACTTAACAACTTCAAAGGACCACGCACAGTGTGGCCGAAAACAAGATCAGCCGGACTAAACCCAAGACTCTCTTGCTCTGCTTCACGGGCAGCAAATATAAGGTATGGAAGACCCTCAGCCCAGTCCTTCCCATTGGCTATGCAGTAGGAGCGCAACATTGATTTAAGGGTTTGATAAAATCTTTCAAGCGCGCCCTGTGACTCAGGGTGGTACGCGCTTGAAAGCTGATGTTTAACCCCTAACTCAGCAAGGGTCTGTGTGAATGCCTTTTATGTAAAGTTTGACCCTTGGTCAGTTTGCACAACAAGGGGCAGACCGAAGGTGAGGCAGAACTTCGCCAACTCTTTAATGATGACTTTTATTTTTTTTTATTTTGCATTTAATCAAGCGTAAAGGAATCGCTTCATGGAAACATGTGGCGGTACACATGATTGTTAGAATATATTAGTGTCCTGACTTAGATTTGGGCACCGGACACACACAGTCAACAAGGAGTTGCTCAAAAGGTTCTCTCATAACCGGTATTGGCTGCAGAGGCGCAACTGGTATATTTTTGTTGGGTTTCCCGGCCAATTGACATACAGGACACAATCTACAAAAGTTAGACACATCTGGGCCAATTAAAGTACCGTAAAACTCGGTGAAAGGTTTTTGTGACACCCAAGTGTCCTGACAGCACAAGTTTGTGAGCCAGTTTTAACACCTGCTCTCTGTAACCAGCTGGCAATACAATTTGGAAGAATACTTGAGCCTCCACCTGCGCATGAGCACCGTATCTTCCCAGAAATAAGCTACCTTAGCATTAGACACTTGACTAAGGGGAACAGCAGCTTCAATGCATTTTACCAATGAGGGGTCTAATTTCTGTGCAGCAGCCAATTGCTCCTTACCAACCTTCAAAAGGAAATGTAACTGCACTGTCGCTGTTAGGGTGAACTTCTGGCTCTACTGGTATCTTATCTTCCACAAATTCATCATGCGACAGCAAAAATGATTCAGAGAGATCCACCACGTCTCTGAATTTAGATGATTGAGCACGAGTCACAATGCATGCAGGGAAAGCTGAAGGAAATTGACGTGCTAGGTCAGGTTGCTCACACATGCTAGGGTTATGGACCACAATTGGTCGGGGAAAAACTTGACCCCCTGCGAGGTCATTTCCCAGAATAACGCCCACCCCCTCGACAGGAAGCAGTGAACGTACACCAAGTTTTACAGTATCTGTTACGAGGTCTGATTTCAAGTAGACATTGTGAAGAGGAACGTTTATACACTCCATTCCAGTTCCACGTATAAGCACGTCTGTACCGGAGTAAGTCTCACCGGGGCAATAACTCCTCTAAAATAAATGACTGAACTGACCTAGTGTCTCTCAAAATGATGACAGGTGTACTCTCAGAATCAACTGAGTGAGACACGGAGCCAGTCAGGAGGAAAGGCTGATAGGACATATCGGTTGTGTGGCTTTTCTCAAATGCGGGGTGTACGAGTGCAACACTTTTAGATTTGGAAGCGGGATTATTTTGCTTCCATGCCTTACAGTCAGAAATTAAGTGATTGGGATCAAGACAATAAAAGCAAGCTCGCTTATCACTTAAAGCATTTTTACAGTGCACACTCCACTGGGCCTCAGCTTTGCCAGTGCGTGAGAAAACACATGTTGCTTCCCTATCAGATACTTCGCAAACGGAAGGGGATACATTAACACGACGTGTGGGGGGGAACATTCCGATGCATCAACACGAACTCATGGGCCAAAACCACGGCATCGGAAAGGGTTGCAACTTTCTGCTAATTTAAATGGACAACAACATTTTCCGGAATACAACTTTTGAAGTCCTCCAGCAAGAACAGCTCTTGAAGCTGATCAAGAGTCGTGATCTTGCTGGAGAGACACCATCTCTCTAAAAGGGTTTTCTTCCTCGCGAACTCGACAAACGCCTGTTTGGCCGTTTTCCCATGTGATCTAAATTTTTGACGGTATGCCTTAGGCACCAACTCGAACGCTCTCAGAACGGCAGATTTTACTACATCATAGTCTGGGACTGATCTATTGGTAAGGTGGAGCAAACCTCTTGCGTTTTATCAGAAAGACTGCACTGCAACGAAAGAGCCCACACATCTTTTGGCCACCGTAATTTCATAGCTACCCGTTCATAGGCAATGGAATACGAATCCACTTCTGCTTCTCTAAATGGGGGTACAAGTTTAAGATACTTGCCAACATCAAAATCCGGCTCAGAAGCTGCATTATCAGTAATTTGAGGTACAACAACAGCAGGTGAAATCACGGGAGATAAAGCAGAGGAGAGTTTAGAGCGAGGCATAGGAACTGGTTTTCGATTTAATTCCTGAGCACGCAAATCTAACTGATGCATTTTAATATCCCTATCTGCTTGTGCCTCTATAGCACAAAGCCTGATCTTTTGCCCTTCACACTCCTGCTTTCTTATAAGGAGGTCCAACTCCTTCAACTTGACAGCTAACATAGACTCACCCAGAGACTCAGTCACCAGCCCAGGAAGAACCTCACTTGCCACAGCTTGTGCGGTGATCCCAGGTTACTTTGAGATCATTCTGAGGTTAAATACATATTTAAAATCATAACAAGAAATATTTTATTAGCTATTATACTGTTTTTGAAATCAAATCTTTACATAGCTATGACAGTAAACACTGGAATCTAACAATGCCTTTGGAAAAAAACAGTTAATCTTTAAAAAATGAAGCATAGCTATACATAAACCCATATAGGAGATAAAAGAGTTCTAAACTCCTAAAACATTGGTGTTTCATATTTTAGAGCAGTCACTGCCATTTATTAAAGAAATCAATTAAATCTGTATGTGGGAGTGTGTGTGGAAAAAAAAACAGATGTAACCCCCTTTGTAATCCTTAACATTTTCATAAGTAACTGTAATTTAATTACACATTTTTTCTCAGTAACTGTAACTGATTACAATTACTTTTATTTTGTAATTAAATTACGTAATTCCATTACATGTAACTAGTTACTCCCCAACACTGTGTATATCTAAGTGTTTCTAATTTTCTAAAGTCAGAAGGAAATTAAACTTAGCAACATGATAGTTAGGCTGTACTAAATTTACTTTGCTGTTATTTAGTAATCCAGATTACATAAACAAATAATTCAAATAGTGTTTTAAACAGATTAATATTTGATACTATACTAACTAGAAAGTTTAAGATTTTCACTCTCTTTAAGGTCCTGATCCGGCTCCTCCACCTGCTGGGCGTCAGCCAGAGAATCAATCACCTCCAGTTCAGCCCGTCATGAATCCGTCTGTTCCAATTAATGCAGTGCCTTACATGATTCAGCCGTATAAAGGTAAACATACAATACATTTATATATCTGAGTGATACATAACATTTAGATGTTCAAATGTGTAACTGAAAGGCTCTGCTTTTCAAAATAGACAATGAAAGTTTATATTTTCAAATATAATACACATCTCATCAATACAAATGCTGGCACATAAAGGAAAAATATTATGTTACTATACTAACTTGAATATTAGAACATTCAAGGTTTTCCCTTTCACTCTCAATTTTTGTCTTAAACTAGGCTATCCAGTCCAGAGATACCTTCCAAATGCCATACCTCAGACAGCAGGACCTGGACCGGTCCCTCTAGCCGCGGGGCTAGAGCCACAGAATCAACCACTTCCAGTTCAGGCAGTCATGAATCTGCCTGGTCCAAGTAATCCAGCACCTCACCAGGTTCAGTCATACACAGGTAAACATAAAATGTTTGAGAAGTTTGTAAAACTTAGATGTTTAAATGTTCTAAAAAAACATTATTATTGGAATGTCATAAGGAAATGAACGAGATTTTTAAATCGAAAAAGTTCATGGTTTTCACACTTTATTGTTTATTGTCTTAAAGTAGGCTACCCAATCCAAAATTACCCTCCAAGTGCCATACCTCAGACAGCAGGACCTGGACCGGTCCCTCTAGCCGCGGAGCTAGAGCCACAGAATCAACCACTTCCAGTTCAGACAGTCATGAATCTGCCTGGTCCAAGTAATCCAGCACCTCACCAGGTTCAGTCATACACAGGTAAACATAAAATGTTTGAGAAGTTTGTAAAACTTAGATGTTTAAATGTTCTAAAAAAACATTATTATTGGAATGTCATAAGGAAATGAACGAGATTTTTAAATCTAAAATGTTCATGGTTTTCACACTTTATTGATTATTGTCTGAAAGTAGGCTACCCAATCCAAAATTACCCTCCAAGTGCCATACCTCAGACAGCAGGACCTGGACCGGTTCCTCTAGCCGCGGAGCTAGAGCCACAGAATCAACCACTTCCAGTTCAGACAGTCTTGAAACAGTCTGATCCAAGCAACCCAGCACTTCACCAAGCTCAGCCATATGCAGGTAAGCATAGTGTGTTCTATAATATTTAGATATGCAAATGTTACTTCTTTTAAAGTTGGAAGCAAATTAGGCTTAACAACATACAATTAAATCAGTTGTGTATCTCCATCCTCCTCACAAACATCTCAAGCACCTGCAGTTCCTCCACCAGTTCTACTTTATGGAGTACCACCCGGTCTCGAGTACTTCACTCAGGTGGGCCTTATCTGTCTCGTTCTATCAATACTTCTTTCTGGAAGTGTGATGTCTGGTTACTACCTGTTATTTTTTGTGCATTTCAGATCGACCAGATACTTATTCACCAAAAAATAGAGTGTATAAAGAGTGAGTCTTCTTCTCTTAGTCCCTTCTTATTTGTTTTTTATTAAGTATGTTAGAGCACTGCCAATGCTTGAAAGCATTTCTGTTAACACTCTAAAAGATTGCATACTTTCACTATGTTTAAACCTAAGAGATATTTTAATCTTTCAATCTTTGATCATACTTGTCTACAGTATTATCTGGCTTTGAGTCTAACAACCAGTATGAGATCAAGAACGGCATCGGGCAAGATATCTACCATGCCAAAGAAGAGAGTGACTGCTTTATACGCAATTTATTTGGTCCAGCACACGGTTTTAAAATGCATATTAAGGACAGCATGGACCAAGAGGTCATTCAGTTGCATAGACCAATGCGCTGCTTCCCGCAAGAGGTAGAACAGACTTTATCTTGTCAAGGCTAATATAGCAGCTAAATAAAACATTTTAACAGAAATGTTGAAAGGAGTTCCAACATGCTGCATGGGCTTCAGACCAAAAAAATAGTCAATCTTTGACCTAGAATGACTTACAATTGACAATTTACGTAATTGCTTATTAAAGATTTGCATAGTTTAGCTTTTATCAACGGACACAACTATGTGCTGTAACGAAGGGATGTTCATAATCTACAACAAGAAATTAAATTCTCACAAACCTATATATACAGTATATCCTATATATATATTAAAAATATGACTGATGGTTTAGTGAGGGATTGAGCTGCTCACGAGCAAGTTTGAAGCTGTTTCATGAATCTTTTTGGTTGACTCTTTAAAAAAAAAAAAAAACTTTGTAGACACAATTTTCCTTTTTTCCCCTAATTCTGCAGTCAAAGGTTGAGGATAGCAATTTGAAGGGGTAATTTCACACTAATCTTGCTAGAATATGATATGATTTATTTGTTGAATTTTGAAGAACATGCCTGCAAGCAGCTGTGCAGGGATTTGAGCTTATTCTATTTATGGGACAGTGGTACGGGGGTTAAACTGATTTAGCATGAGGTGGAAAGTGCTCTATTTTTAGCAGTGTGTTTGCATGCTTCTTAGGCACGTGTCTATCACTATTTGAGTTATTCGATTCACTATTTAATATTCCATACACTAGAACTTTTTGCAGTTACTCTTTTTTAAATGTACACTTAAATTGGAGAGGATGTAGCATTCCTATTAGAAATGTGGAAACTGCTATAAATTTCTATTCGGTGCTCTTGAAGCACCTGTCACTCCAAGGTGCCTTATAAATTAGGTTGTCTGCTTATTGCACATTTTTTGACATACTTTCTTTTGTTGTTTATTAATTGATGTGGATTTTCCACCCTCAGATTGAGGTACAGGCTCCCCCTGGAGTAATCATAGGCTATGTGAAACAGGAGTGGTCTTTTTTACCAAAATTCACCATCCTGGGCCCCAATAATGAGGTACTACTGAAGATCCAGGGACCCTTCCTTCCATTCAATTGCTGTGGTGACATAGACTTTGAGGTAATGTTTATTTCAGGCAAGATACGTTTAAAGGTGTTTTAAGGTGTTTCGCATTTGATGTTAGGATTACACATGTCTTTTGCACCACTAAGAAGGTCTGTCTTTAGGTTAAAGGCGGTTTTGGTGAACAGTCTTTTGGTCGAATCACAAAACAACAGAGTGTTTTATTAAAGAAATGCATTAGTGATGCCAGCAACTTTTCTATCCAGTTCCCTCTGGACATGGATGTTAAAATGAAGGCTGTACTTTTGGGTGCTTGCCTCTTTATTGTGAGTATTAAGCCAATGATTTCAGCGATTCACAGAATATTGTATGCTAGGAAAGTTCATTCAGCTGATATTTTTAGCTGTTTTGAAAATTATTTAGACAAGGCACTATATATTTTGAAATTACATCAGTTAAGAAAATATCAACAGTATACAGTTGTATTAAAATATATAGCATTATAGTAATGATTCTTGTTTGGAATGATCTCTTTTTCTCTTTCCTTTTCTTCTTACAGGACATCATGTTCTTTGACAAAGGTGGAAATTTATTTCTAAAATATTTAAGGGCATCATGAAATGCCTTCCTTTTTTTTCTTTTTCTTTTTTAAAGAGTGTCTACATTTATAATATCCTGTCTCTGAGAGGCCAGTATGGAGTCTGTAAGGATTAATAAGGACCTGGAGCAAATCCAAGTTTTGCATATGCAGATGATTTGATGAGTCTGCTTTCCATTTGAGGGAGTTTGCTTTTCAGAGAACTGCTTTTCTCTCCTCCCATAGCAGAAACAATCATATGCAGGCGGTTTGAGTGAGAGTGTGGTATGGTCTGAATGACAGTATACATACTACTAATGCCGTCATAGAGAAAAATGCAAAACAGGCAGGCAACCTTTGTCAAGATGGAGAAACCTACACACTTAAATGGACTCATGGGACCTCATCTATTCCTTGGAATGGGATATTCTTCAGTTCTACTTTCCTTTTTAGTGAATTTTAATGCTTTCAGCACACATGCACTGTTAGGAAAATATTGAACAGTGTTTTACACAACCTTGTAGTTTTATTTGTACAGCACAAATTAACCAAATGTACTGCCATTTGGCTGTAACTCTTCAAAATGTCAGTTTCTGATGATGTCAGTACTATTTTTTAGCTCTCGTAATCGTATTTAGCTCTAGACAAAACTGACAATCACGTACTGCTACTGTGCAAGTATGAATATAATCAATTAAACATTCTTTTTATTTGTTGTTACTTGTGCATTTTTCAGGTTTCACATTCATAGGATTACTTCTGCCCAGCAAGAAACTAAAACGTGTTGAAATGTAGGCTTATTTTAAAACATGTACACACATTGTAACAATATTAGACCTGTTCAATATTTACTGTTACAAATTGGACTTTCACAACAAAATCACCAAGGAACTGATGTCTAATGTTTACCACAACTTACTATAAACCATCATAAAGAATGTTTTGAAGCAGTATCTCTTTTTAAATTAAGATAGGTACTCTTTAAAAACAGGGGAAAAGATTAGCCTTTTATGCCCACCAAAATGAAAGGTTAAATCCACATTTAACCATGCAATCAGGACCCAGTAGAATCATGTTAGACAGTCAAGGGCATAAGTCAACAAGATATACTTGTTCTTGTCCAACCTGTTTACTTGCATTACAACCCCTTTACCAGATTTTGCAGTCTTAAAGGTTAAATGCAGTCTGCAAATTGGTGATGTTCTTGTAAAGTAAAAAATGTTACTAATAATATCCAAATTCTCTAGGAAAATGGCACAAAAAAAAAAGAAAAAAAAAAAAACTTGTCTGAACTAAATAATTTATTTGACTTTAATTTTTTAATGGTAGGCTACTTACAAAAAACAGTTATATATATTTTAGTTATTTGAGCCCTCATTATGAATGAAAAGAGTAAAAAAAAAAGAACTCAGAAATAACTTCTGTAGCATTCACTTTCGCTTTCTTTAGTATGCACCATTTTTTGATTTGGCTTCAGCTTTCAGCCATCTGGTTCCACGATATTGAACATGACACTAAATACAGAGATCTAATCCTCACTGATGTGTACTTAACTTTGAAGAGTAAATACACTTACATTACCTTTTATGCTGTTGTTCCTATACTGTGAAATAAATATTATTAAAATAAAAAATTAAAAAACATGAAATATTTTAATCTAAGGGACAAACTAAATAGTACTTCAGCAGACTAAACACATAAATGCACGTCCATATCTTTATTGATAAAATAGTTCCAGAAGAGGCTACAGGGAACAGACTACTTTTCATTAGAGAAAAAATACTAAATTATAGGCCCATGTATATATTAAATATTGTCTTCCATCTTTTGTTGATCCTGGATCAACATTACTGTCCAAAAATATAGACTAAACCCAATCCCTACCCCTAAACCTAACCTTACCCATAATTTATTCCTAAAATTAGTGTGAAATGATAGCTGATTAACAAGGGTGTAGAAGCACCTAACCCTGATAGTTATGTAGCTCATAATATGTCAAAACTATTTGAATTTGAATTGTGTAAATTTGAATGATTGACATTGTCATTTAACAAAACTGAATTTTATGTGCCATTTAACATAGCTCTGAATTAGATTTTTTTTAACTTGAATATTGAACATTTGAAATTTAACACAACTGAATTTTTTATGGTAGTTTTTATGTATTTTCAAACAGCAGATTTTTTGTTCTGAACGAGTTTTGTCAGTTTGTCACAAATGCAGACATGGTTTTATGTTTACAAGGTGCGATGCGAGGCAACACATAAAAAGATAGTACAAGTCATTATAACCCGTAATTACAGTATGTCCCCACTGGATGCAACAAATGTTTATATTGGGTTTTAATGTTTTTGAATCGTTGCTCCGGCCGGACAAGGCATCACAATATGGTAAGGGGCATAACATTTCCTTCACACACTCGAGGTGTATGGCCAATCACAACGCACTGGATAGCTGGCCAATCAGAGCACACCTCGCTTTTCAGAAAGATGAGCTTTGTAAAAATCGACACGTTTCAGAAAGGCGGGGCATAGAGGAGAAACAATAATGTACAGTATGTGGAAAATAATAGGAGCATGATAATATGTCATGGCTACGAGATCATTTTGTCGAGATAATTATATGGAGATTATGACATCCAGGAATCGCCACGCGGCTGCCACTTTTCTTGTAGTGGAAATGTTTTGTGCAGTCTTGGGGCAGACATTGCCATAGTTACTCTCACGATCACCAACTGGAGTGCCCATGTGCTCCACCAGTGGGCACTCCATCCCTGAATGATCCCATTCACCCTGGACTACATTCCCCATAATCCTTTGCCGGACTCATCATCTATTGCATCACCTGTCACTCATTAGATCTCATCATCAGTTCACAGCTGTCTCATATTAGAAGGACTTTAAAAGATGCACACACACTCGAACACTTCGCTGGTGATTGTTTAGCCTGTAATGATTCCTAGTTTCTGTTATCCTGCCCGTGTTTCCTTGTTTTGGCTTTCCTTGCCTTTGTGTATTTTGGATATTGGACTGTTTATCTGGTTTTTATGATTGTTTTGCTGCCTGCCCTGACCATTGCCTGTTTACGGATTACTCTTTGTCTTTGCCTGGGATATTATTGTTTGCTGGTACTGGACCCTGCCTGTCTGACCACATTTACGAATAAAGCCTGCATTTGGATCCTCAACTCCGTTGTCACTACGCCTCCTTCGTTACAGAATCACCAGCCATACCCGGATCCAGCGGCTTTTAGAGCATTCCAGGCCAATCATGGACACAGTGGACCAGCTACTGCACCTTCGGCAAAGAGATTTGTCTATTGAGGATTACCTACATAAATTTTGTGAGTTGTCCTGTCAAGTGCTTTTTGATGAGATCATGTTAAAGGCATGTCATGTCATCCCCAATCTCTTGGTGTTCCCTGGCGCCTCCATTCCAACCTCATACAATATTTCTGAACTCCCTGTGTTTAATGAAGCTCCTGTTGCTATTGTTTTAGAACCTCCAGAGGTGGCGGCGTTCGCTGCAGATCCTCCAGTGGTGGTGTTGTCCACTTCCGCGCCTCTTACGATGGGGGTGTCCACTTATGAATGCTTTGTCAGCCCTGACCAGGTCATGGTGACCATCAGTGAATCCCCTGTCATACCAGTCCCGGCCAAAAAGCCCATTCCTGAACTCTCCGTTTGCACTGTCCCAGCCAAGGAGGCTTATCCTGAACTCTCTGTTTGCACTGTCCCAGCCAAGGAGGCTTTTGCTGAACTCTCTGTTTGCCCTGTCCTGGCTAAGGAGGCCGTCTGAGAACTCTCTGCCTGTGCTGTCACGGCTATAGAGGCCGTTTCTGAACCCTCTGTCTGTCCTGTTACAGCTAAGAAGGCCGTTTCTGAACTCTCAGTCTGTCCTGTTCTGACCAAGGAGGTCGATTCTGAACTCTGTGACTGTCCTATCCTGGAAAAGAAGGCCAGTCACGAACTCTCTGTTTGCCCTGCAACGATCAGGGTGGTTGTTTCTGAACTCTCTGACTGTACAGCCATGGTCAAAAGAGCTGGCCCTAGACTCTCTGCTCGCCATGTTACAGCCAAAGATGCCATTTCTGAACTGTCTGCCAGTCCTGTTACGGACGCTGAGGCCATTGTTAACCTCTCTGTGGTCTTTGTTCCAGTTCTGCCTGATCCGTCCAGCTCATCGGCTCCACCCTGGTGCTCTTCAACTCTAGGCGCGTTTCCATTACCCTTCAAATTGCGCAAATTGAAATTGCGAATTGAAAATACGCCTAATGGAAACGCGTCAAGTTCGCAAAAACGCCCATATATCGCAAAAAAGTTTACGCTCGCATGAGGTGGTTTTTCAGGCAATGCGAAAAAGGATTAATTCGCAAAACTGCAATGGAAACGGCTTTTTCGCATTTACAGGTCACATGGCGTATGTAAAAAGTCATATAATCATTCTTCAACGTACTATAACCTCCAAGAAACCGTGGCCGCGCTCCAGTATAAGGGGCTTTCCCAACTATTAATACATGTCTGCGGTGCAGTGTGGCTCTGATACGGTCACTGAAGCTGATTACGGCCACTCAATGCTTGTGTTTATGTTTTTATACAGTCTATGGTTTATCCCAGCCGTGCCACGCACGTTTCTGAAGCGGCTCTCTTTGCTGCTTCTGTAAAGATACACGCATAAGCCTCCTTTGAATAAATATAACCAAAATCCCACCAAAATCCGTTGCCATGACTTATCGCGAGAGGCAAAAGGTTACGTTTTGCTCCGCTGGTTTTGCCTCAATCCCCTGTTGCTTTACTTCCACATGGACCTGGCCCTCCATCCCTCCCCCTGTTTCGCCTCCGCTCCACCTCCCTCCTGGACTCATGTCTGTTCCTGTTAAGGAGCGTCTGGAAGCCACTCCTTAGGGAAGGGGCTCTGTCACGATCACCAACTGGAGTGCCCATGAGCTCCACCAGTGGGCACTCCATCCCTGAATGATCCCATTCACCCTGGACTACATTTCCCATAATCCTTTGCCGGACTCATCATCTATTACATCACCTGTCACTCATTAGATCTCATCATCAGTTCACAGCTGTCTCATATTAGAATGACTTTAAAAGATGCACACACACTCGAACACTTCGCTGGTGATTGTTTAGCCTGTAATGATTCCTAGTTTCTGTTATCCTGCCCGTGTTTCCTTGTTTTGCCTAGCCTGGCCTTTGTGTATTTTGGATCTTGGACTGTTTATCTGGTTTTTATGATTGTTTTGCTGCCTGCCCTGACAATTGCCTGTTTACGGATTACTCTGTCTTTGCCTGAGATACAGTGGGTACGGAAAGTATTCAGACCCCCTTAAATTTTTCACTCTTTGTCTGCAAAAATGTCAACAATTCTGTGTTTTTCTGTCAATATGGGGCGCTGTGTGTACATTAATGAGGAAAAAAAATTAACTTAAATGATTTTAGCAAATGGCTGCAATATAACAAAGAGTGAAAAATGTAAGGGGGTCTGAATACTTTCCGTACCCACTGTATTATTGTTTGCTGGTACTGGACCCTGCCTGTCTGACCACATTTACGAATAAAGCCTGCATTTGGATCCTCAACACCGTTGTCACTACGCCTCCTTCGTTACAGTTACAAACAACAAGGTCTCATTTGATTTTACTAAAAATAAACAAAAAATAACAGAAATGCAGTATGTGTTATTCGCTATTTATCATTTCATGGGACTATGACTAGCGTAGTTGTCATATCAGACACAGTTAACAATGACATTTTACACGTAGCCTAATTGTATTTTTAACTGGCAAACCAACTCGCACACGCATGCTCTGGATTTTTTATTTATTTTTTTTATATCTCTGTAAAATATTTTTTGATGGATCATCCAATGGGAATTCCATTAGGCTACATTTTAAATGATCATTGTTTTCAACACTACCGACATGAGCTCAGTGAAAGGTGCCTACAAGCACCTAGAATCCAATATTGTCTGCTCAAATGCCTCGGTCTGGTTGTGTTTTGAAGACAACTATGTTTCCTTAAATAATAGTCCCACTATACAGCAGTCATATTCACAGCAGAATGTAAGTAGCTACATTTATAACTCATTGAAAGACTGAGATCTGTCAAACATATGTGTAACTATGACACACTGTGGTTGTTTTGGGTACAGCAAAACAACCAAGTTTCTCTCTCCTTCTCTTTGGGGACTTTTCACTTCTTTTCACTTGCATGTTCCATTAGAGTTGATGTAACTTCACAGAACATTTATTTGCACAGGGTTAGCTATAAAACTGAATAAACAGTATTGATAAGTTTCTGAAGACATTTTCATCTCAATTCATATGCAAGCATTTTACGTGTCTCACTTTGTCTTTGCAATAAATATACCCATTTGTGCCTTGACATTGTTACCTGGCATCAACCTGGAGAAACTGAGCTATATATTTATGGTAAATATTCAGCATGTTATTTTCCATAACCTGTTGTGTTTTAACTTCTAATAATGTATGAAAATCAGAAAACAAACAAATAAAAATGCATGTTTTATTTTATTAAACCGATACAAATATTTATAACACTTTGTATTTACAAATTCATCATATACATTTACACAGTTTTGCTGAATTTAACACATTTAAAATTTTAACAAACCTAATTTATATACAAAAACTGCAAACTAACAATAGTCACAATGGCAACTAGAATGTCATTCTGCATTTAAAAAGAATGATTATGCTGTCTTTCCAAACAAATAACTGATGTCACAAATGTATTAATTAAGCACATAATACAGAGTCACTATAGATAGTTTCACATTGGAGGTGGATGGAAACTTCAGGGTGAGAAAATATTTTGACCTCTTGACACTTCATCGATATCACAAAAACATGAAATCCTCAATAATTATGAACAATCTTACGAGTTAACATTGTCTTGCATTAAACTCTTTCTCCTCTTCTATCCAGTGCAGTTCTGTCTCTGTCTCTATCTCTGTCTTGTCGTATGATGTAACGTCCTGCCAGCTGCAGGTCCCACTTGTAGCGGGCAAGGATTTTTTGACATTCCTCACGAGAGCTCTGAGTCATGTAATACAGCTGGTCTGTCTGATGATGTAATGGAAACACAAAAGAATAAGTACAAGTAATGCGATGAATTAATTGAAATTATTTACATTGAATAAACAAAGGTTAATTCTCTATTACCTTAAGTTGCTGCTCTGCCCATACAGGATTCCAGTCACTGCGATACAGAGCTTTCTGAACCTGCTCAAGGGTCACTCCATGTACTGCCTCCTGAACCTGATGACCAATCAGCATTTAACATATCAGCAACAGCATTAAATAGGAACTGTATTATTAAAATGTTAGCAAAAATACAGTAAAAACACTATAATTGTGAAATATTATTGCAATTTAAATGAACAGTTTTCTATTTTGTGAAATGAGCATGTGTGTGTGTGTGTGTGTGCTTGTTTATGCTACATTGTGGGGACCAAATGTCCCCACAAGGATAGTAAAACCTGAAATTTTTGACATTGTGGGGATCAGCCTGCAGTCCCCAGGAGGGGGAAAAATGATTAAAAATAGTAAATGATGTTTATCTGAAAGTGTAACAATGTAAACAGTTTTTCTGTAAGAGGTAGGTTTAGGGTTAGGGGATAAAAAATATAATTTGGTCAGTATAAAAGTAATAGAAGCCTATGGAATGTCCCCACAATTCACAGAAACAAACGTGTGTGTGTGTGTGTGTGTGTGTCAGTCTATTCTACTGTTATAAGTACTGAAAACACTTTTACAAGGTAAAGCAAAGTTGTTGGATCTGAGGAAATCTGCATACTTGCGCTATGACCGCTTCCTTGTCAACTTGTGGCGGATACCTCTCCTTTGCCTTCTCCCGCTCTCTTTCTTTCTCTTGCTCTTTATCTCTCTCCTTCTCTTTCTCAGGGCCATCATCTAACTGAGGGCTTGACTTGGCCAGATGTGCCATCCTGTCAAGGTTGCTATTCCCTAAACACTGCTGCTGTGGTTGGAACTGGAACTGTAGCTGTGAATGAGTTTGAGGGGCCCAGCCCGCTGGGTTTACTGGTCTCCGATCCTGGGTCATCATCTGGGGTTTGACGCATTTGAAGACAGTGTTTGGTGGGCTGATGCATTTGAAGCTGGGGGGTGGTGGCCGTGCAGGTGGGATGACAATAGCATCACTAAACCTGCGTGGATCTTGCATTAAATTGCACTGCATGAGTCTGCGTGGGTCGGCTCTCTGAGCTGCATTCCCACCAGGACCTCGACCTTTGTCCTGTGAACCACCAAGGACAGATTCCAGACTCCTTGAGATGCCTGAAGATTGAGAGTAAGACACAAAACGTGACTGGATACATTATCACGTGGTCCTCCAGAAATCATTCTAACATGCTGATTTGGTGCTCAAGGAACATTTATTATTATCATCATGTTGAAAACAGTTGTGCTACTTCAATTGTTTGTGGAATTCGTGATTTTTATTAGGAGTCAGGATTCTTTGATGAATAGAAAGTTCATTTGAAACAGAAATCTTCTGTAACAATGTAAAGGTCTTCACAGTCACTTTTGATCAATTTAATGCATCCCTTATTGAATTAAAAAATGTTTTTTAAAGAAATCCTGCTGACCTCTAACTTTTGAATGTTAGTGTATGTGTACAAGACAATAACCTCTTTTATATTAAATTCAGGCCTTGAATAATGCTCAAACGATAGTGTGTGAAGTTTGTTACAGTATATTTTCAGTTCTTACCTGCCATTTTCGTCAGATTGGAGCCTTCCTTCTCTCTTGATAATGGAATCCTCCAACGTCTGGAGCTTAAAAGTACACAGAAATTGGCAAAAGTCACACACACACACACACACACACACAGTCTAATTAGAGTGACAACTGCTTAGTGAATTCAAAGCTTATAGTTCATAACTTAATTTAAATAGTCACTCACTCATTTATTCGTTCTGGGTTGCCCCAGCTGCGTGCTTGGTCCGTGTCTCCATGGCCAGTGTGCTGTAGACTGCCTTTAACAGGGGAAGAGATCAGAGCCGGACCAGGCGCAGGAACTGCTACTGTGAGAGCCGGCGCAGCCAATGCAGGAGGAAACCAGCCAACACTTAGAGTTCTCTGGTTTTGGCCCTTCCACTCACACATTTCCAGCCTACAATAAAACACAAGAGCATAAAAATACAGAGATCAAAGGGCAGTCATTTTTATTGTTTCTGAGGATCACCACAAAGCCCTATTTAGCATCTCTACTTTTTACTTTACAAATAAATTTAGACAGATAATCTACAGCTCCTTTCCATTTTTGACATTTTTTGGTCTGTGAGCTCAAAAAATTCAGTCTATTGTTAAATATATATTCAATCTGCTATTTGAATTCTATAAAATGTCACTAAAGTTTACGTAAAACTGGACAAAGTAATTGGTACCTAGTCAATCTGAATCTGTTCTTTCATTTTTTTTCTAAACGTGAGCTTGAGGTAGGTTGAGCTATGAATTGAATGCTACTAAGTCAAAGGGAGGGAAGGCAGGTTAATAATTACCCACAACCTTTATCAGAGTGAGAGTCAGCAAAGATTTATTGGCATGACTGATAACAACTTTTAACAATGCCAAGGGTATAAGGTAAGGAAACTGACAATATAGAAAAATAATGTTAAAATTAATTTAAAAAAGTAAATGAAAATAAAGGGAGAAATAGAAGAAAGAAAAATCAAATTGAAATGAAAATTAAATGAATTTTTTTCATTCCTTTATCTTGATTGCCCTCAAACCCCTGTCTTACCCATGATCTATTACAGTCACTAGATCATTGGCCTGTAGAGAGAGTTTTCTGAGCTCTGTGAAGTCTTTCACTGCTCGAAGCTCCATAGGCTGAGCCTGAAAAATACATTAAAAAGAAAGAGAGAGGAATGTGAGGAAAAAAATAGATTCTGTGTGTATCATTCATTAATTATAGTACATGTACACAATTAACACACTGTGCTAAGACTGGGGAAAATGCTCCTGGTTTTAGATAAGCTTTTTTGTAATATCTATAGCACAAGATACACTTGTACTATACGATTTTTTTAATGCTTTTGAAAGAAGTGTCTTATGCTTTTATGCCTTTATTTGATCAGAAATACTGTAAAACAGCACTAACAAAATTTTGTTAATTACAATATAAAATAACTTTTTTGTGTTCTAATATAATTTAAAATGTAATGTATTCCTGTAATGGCAAAGCTGAATTTTCAGCAGCCATTACTCCAGTCTTCAGTGTAACACGATCATTCAGAAATCATTCTAATATGCTGATTTGGTGCTCAATAAACATTTCTTGTTGAAAAAAAGTCTTACTGACCCCAAAGTTTTAAACGTTATTCTAATGAATATTAATGAGATTAATGAGAGGCAGAGCTTTAAAGGGGTCCTATTATGCTTTTTCACTTTTTGAATTTTAGTCAGTGTGTAGTGTATATGTTTGGGCAAATCTCAAAGTCCACTCCAAAGGGAGATATTTCGTTTTAAAAATCCCTTTTCAAGAACTACAACGAACGGCTCGTTTGGACTACAGCGTTTGTTTTCCGGGTTCTGTGATATCACAAAGTGGCCCATTTGAATATCATTAAAATAATTCTCGCCTACGGAAATTGGAATGGTTGGGGGGGAGGGGGAGGTTGTGGTTAGAACGCTTGGTTGAGTACATCAGACAAGAAGTGCTGCTGTAGCCTCATGTTTTCGCAAGTTATTACACATGCACCTGAATAATTATGTATGTAAATATGTGTTACAATTATGAAAACGTTTTTATAATAAATTGCTGACAGTACAAGACTGGACATTCATGTAATCTGAAGAATTTACACTTCAATTAGGAGACTACAGTGTTTCCCATACATTGAGTGTTTTTATATCACTGTATTTTTGAAGGAAACCGACTGTCTTCAGAAAATTGGATGTAATTTTCATTTAATCTTGCATGTAATGTCTGATAAAGCAGTGTTTTTTTGAGCGGAGCGCTGCTTTGTGTACAGTCTTTACCGGGGAAACCTTGATCTCTACCACTTCAACAGTGCCTCCTGCTGGCAGAGAATGAGTTTGCATATATATGCCGCCTGGGAAACACTGGACTATGGTATAAATAAATTCAACTGTATAACAGTTTCACTGCAATTCATGTTATAATGTTAGAATTAAATAACAATAAAAATAATACATATGCACTTATCTGTACATAATAAATGCAGTTGTTTTAAGCGGTTGTTGACATCCTATCTAAAACGTGATTTAGCCAATGTTACCACGCTAATATGTCTTGCAATCCTCTTGTTCAGTATTCTCTGGGTCTGAATCTGGCTCAAATTGATATAGCAATATTGACGGCAATATGATCCTTAACTAAACTTGCTGCTTTGGCAAGGGGCGGGGCAGTACTAAAACACTGTCTAAGCTGTTCGCCAATCACAACGCACTGGGATAGCTAACCAATCACATCATGTTTCGTTTTTCGAAAGGCGGGCGTTCATCAAACCCGGAACTAATTGAGCCGTTTGTGCCAGGCTGGGGAGAAAGGTATTGTAATAATGTAAATTATGTAAAAAAAATAATGCGTTTTTCGACCACCAATTGTCTTCACATCACCAGCACTGCAATAACATTACCAATAACACTACTGTTCAAAAGTTCGGGGTCAGTAAGATTTTTTCATGTTTTTGACTCTTATGCTTCCCAAAGTTGCATTTATTTGATTAAAAATACAGTAAAACAGTAATATTGTGAAATAGTGTTGCAATTTAGTACATTACATACATTTAATGCATCCCTGCTGAATAAAATTAATTTATTTCCAACTTTCTGCAAGTTACATTTGCAGTTTCTGCAAGTTACACTTGTTGCATAAGTGGCGAAAATTATTTTCATTATAAGTGACTTAGTGAATCACTGAATACATTTGTTCAAAAACATGATTTATCCAGGAATTAAACAAGTCTTTATGAGGGAGTCATTGAATAATTCATTCAACAGATTCACTCAAATACACTGATTCATTATGGAACATGCAGCAGCTAATTCTGCTTTGTTTGAAAGTATTTTCGTTAGAGATGCACAAGATTACACAAGTAAGTAAAAGGGCAATATTGTGTCTAAAATGCATGTTACTAAATATTAACTTCTTATTTATTGAACTGGGATATAAAAGCAGTTATATCACACTCACAATCATGTTATTGGTCTGAATATCAGCAAGACTGATACTCCTTTAATGAGCAATAAAACAAATATGAAAAGGGAATAATTCATTTATATTTACATAATACCAAGAATCAATTATTAGTACAGAATATGATCTTACAAAAAAGTAAAAATTACCATTTTAAGAGGATGAGTAAGGACAACGCCATACAGATGTATAATGTTGGGGTGGTGCAGAGACTGCATGGTCGAAACTTCCTGGAGGAATTCGGTTACCACATCTCCGTATCTGGGTCCGCCACCCCTCAAGGTTTTCACTGCTACAGGCAACTTAAAATGGGGAAACAAGACTGTTAGTGTAGTATTTGAAGAATTAATTTGCAAAACCAGGTAACTCAGTTTTTAACCATTTTCAAAAATCATGTTTTTTCATTGTGCATTCCAATGAATCTCAATCAAACTGCAGTTGGGTTATTTTGGTTAGGTTAAAAAAATACAGATAACTAACACAATAAAAACATGATAACATAATAAAAAACATGATTTTTGAAAATGTTAAAAAACTGAGTTATCTGCTTTTGCAAATAAACTATTCATTTATACCTATACTCCTATACACATACTCATATTTGGTGTAAAGCACTCACCACTCGTCCAGTCGGCGTTTGCCATTCTGCTTTTCGAACTACCCCAAAGGAACCTGAGCCTAGCCTGTCCCCAAAGATCAGTTCACTGTCCTGGATAAGACAGGGGAGTGCGCGCCCTGGTTCTGGCCCCTGGCCTGAACCAACACCATTAAACTGCTCACTTCCTTCTGGGGTGCGACCACTGAAGGCCTAGTACAAAATAGACAGTGATGATCACAGGTAGGCTAAGTGAATGAATAAAAAGAGGGGGTATGTAAAGATGTAAAATACCTTAACCATCCATGACCGTGGTCGCATGTTGATTTTATAATGTCTGACAGCTTCCCATAATCGTCGCTGTCCTGTTGACAAACCACCAAAAACAGCAATAAATACAAGTACTTATACACAAACCATATTAAAGGCACTAAATGATTATATTCACCACTGTAGGGCTTTAAGTACACAAAGAAAATCAAACAAAATAACAATCTTCAAATATCAAATTTTACAAGACATACCTGGTCTACTAATGCCAATCTGTTCAAGATCTGCTTCTTTAACATAGTTCAGGTGCTCAATACGTGTCACATTGAGTCCATCTCGCATCCTTACGTAGAATCTCTCTAGCTGCACACTAGCAAGGAGCTGGTACAGCCACTGAGTGTCACGATCCATCATTATTACACTGTCTCACAGCAACTCTGAGAGACGAACAGAGCAATGAAATGAGATCAGAAAAGAAAGTACAATAAACCTAAACAATCTGAAACATTCATTGTTTTTCCCATATGGTCATTTTTCATTTTGATTCCATAGAAACAAGCTCTGTACACCTAGAGTACTGTATCTTTTCTGAATGGACACAAAATGGCTGTTCCTTACAATTTTAGGCCTCATTGGGTTGCTATGGATGCCTGTTGGGAATTTGCTGGAAGCTAATGAGAAATCAAACAAACAAGAGACCTGAGCTGTGTTGAGAAACCCTCTTAAAGTGCATGATACTCAAAATACTTCCTTTGTTTTACTTTATTCAGTTTAGATGTACAGGGATGGTGCACATAATTCATTTTTATTTTATAAATCGCTGGTTTAGGTGTTAGAGATCATTTTTAACTGTAGTTCAACTGCACATATTACCAACTACATAAAAATTAATGACAAGTAAACATGTTTCATGTCAAGTAAACATGCAGAGACTAATATACAGGCTAACAAACAGTCTAGAAATCAAGGAAGCAGGGGAGTTTATAAACCAAACAAACCACTTTTTTTCAGTGGATGCCAGTGAGGAGAGATGTATGTGGCCAACCACTTCAGGCATGTGTGTGTAAAAGAGAATGATTTACCTGCTCTGCACGATTAAACTCATAAAGCAATTATGCTATAAATGACCACTGAATACCTCTCTAAAGTATTCTAACTTGTTTGCATTGGCAAGGAAATCCCCTTTTAACAGTTTCATACTGCATACACAAGTATGCGAAGCAAGGTTTGGTAAGTTATGTTCAGAACAGAATAGATTTTTTTTGCATGCCAAGCATTGTGTCATTGCCTTCACATGTCCGTGAACCTCCCAGTGTACAAAGAGACAACTAGAAACTCTCTGCACGCTTGTGTTTACAGAACCATGACAACATAAAGACCAACTCAGACACATGACCTTTTAGTGAATAATCAGCCAGTATGCCTCAGATGAGACCGCTCTAAAACTATGGGGGCTTGTCTGAGCAGGTAACCTGAGAGTATCAAAATAAGATTCTCCAAGACTACACACCCAAAGTCCACACCCCAAATGGCAAGAGAAAATGTCTCTGTGTGAAACTCGAGGCTCTAAAGTTTAGTAGACAGTGTGTGTTCTAAACCAGATCTTACATTTGTAATAACTACAGGATTACTCAACTGAGTTGTTAATCGGAGCTTGAGCAATTGCTTTATTTTGGTCAAAAATATCTTCAGAAAATTACAGAGCAGGTCATTTTTAGTTCTAACAGGGGTAACACTTTATTTTAAGGTATCCTTGTTACACGTTCCATGTACTTACTATTATAATAACAAATAATTATGCATAATTACATGCAAGTAACACTAAGCCTAACACTAATCCTAACGCTAACCCAATAGTAAGTACATGTAGTTAATTAATATTACTCAGTATTTAAAAGTATAATTACACTGTAACAAGGACACCTTAAAATAAAGTGTAACCCTAACTTGCAACTTTCAGGCGGGTTTTCCTCAAGCCGGCTTGTTTGATAGAGCCGTGCTTCTGTTAACATTTGATACAGTCTTCTCTGAAACCGGGTGTGAACTGATAGGTCACACAGTTTCTACAGCATTATTGTAATCAAATATGTTTCAAACCTTTTGAAAGTTTTAAAAGCAGAAAACAGTGGCCTTTTACAAAGAGTTATAAAGGAGTGTACACCCAGTGTATAGACACAAATGACAGCTTTTGTTTGTTTGTCATGTTTTGTCAAAAGGCATGACTTTAATCCTTCATGTATAACTAATGTTAGAAATGTGTCAAACATATGCTGTTGACCTATGACCGGGTAGTTAGTCACAAACAATATGTAGGTCATTACTACAATTTCCTAATTAATGGCACAGTACTATTTATAATATCACAGTTTATGAGAGATGTGTTAATAATAATTTGTGTATAAGGCTGCCTGGCCACTTAATATTCAGAATGAGTGTTAGGACAAAACAAGTACAATTCTTTAACTATCATTCATTATTTCATAGCAGCAAATAACAGTATGGTAGGCCTACCTCATTAATAATTTTAAAAAAAAAATTAAAATTAGATTACTGTAGATACTACAGTAGGTAAAATTCTAGTCTATATATATATATATATAAGCCAATATATACTGGAATATAGAGGAGTTATTATATACACTGACACAAAGGAAAGCCTTTTAATGAAGTTTCTGAAAGCAAACTTACATATACTATTGGTTTCACCTTGGTGCTATAAATCAGCCACGACAGCAGATAAGGATGAGCCCAGGTGAGTGTTTCAAGCATAACACCAAAGCGGAAATGACGCTTTTAAAAAAAAATAATTCCATTGCAAATCGTTCCTTTTGACCAACCATCCCTTTTGTTAAAGACTCTTATACACTTTGGATTAATACATTGCTTATTTCAAGATATAATTCACTTTCCTTTGCAGAATAAGGATGCTACTTGCAGTAAACAAAAGCTTATACTTACAAATAAACGCTCGACGTTTTTTCCGCAGTCGAATCACTTTCTTCAGCTCGCAAGTCAACTACACTCCAGGTGTAAGATGTCCATTATAAACCGTTCATTTTCAGTGAGTGTCACTGAAAGAGTTTATTATAATCCGCCGTGCTAGAATATAGAAGGTGGTTTAAATATTCCGGCTATCGTTCATCTGTAGGTCATGAGTAGTTTACAGTGAAGGCAGGTGTTTTATAGACTGCGTCTGACGCCTCTCTGCGATTCCAAAGCATTCAGTCTGAGTTCTTCCTCACTCCGCCCTCAGCACCAACATTTCCCTTCACCACCTGCTGGATTTAAGCCATATATTACATCATACTGTTGTTTTTCCTCCCCAGTTTTGACAGTCATATAGATTTTGATGATCTATATGATCATGCTCGC